AAAAAAAAACTAAAAAATAAATATATTTAGTTTATTGTTTTATTTTTGAGTTCGTTGAACGAATAAATTTCGATTTAATCAAGTATATTCAAAACGTACAAGTCCTAAATTATTCGAACACGAGTGAATTTAAAATTTGATGAACAATTAAACGAACACACTCGAACATGACTTTTTGTTCAAAAATTAAAATAACGAACATGAACATAACGTAAATAAGAGCTCAAAACGTCCAAGTTTGTCTGGTTGAGTTCTAATTTTAAGTCTATATTTGCATTGTAACTATAGAATTGCATAGAAATTCCTTGATCTTGGTGAAGCTAAAAATGCATTTGAGTTGTGTTTTCCGTACTTCTGTGTGCTATAAACTGTTTATCCATGTACAATACTAGTCTATATTGCATTTTAATGTAGATTGATTGACGAATATAAACTCATAAAAGATTAAGAAAATATATGTATACTATATTTTAATGTAGATTGATTGATGAATATATATAAACTCATAAAAGATAGAAAATATATTAACGTACAATGGCTACAAGATGATTTGTTAATGTAGTAGACTTGTTGATGAAGATAAATTCATTAAGAAGTTATGAAAATATAGAAAAACGACATTAACATCATAAGATAATAAAAGATCTTCTGGAAACTGTATGCATAAGGTTAAGAAAATAAACATTTATACATAAATATATATATATATATATATATATATATATATAAATATATTATTAGTTTTCCAAAAAGAGAAAAATTATACTACAATGTATCAATTCATAAAAATATGCTTTTGTATAGTTATTAAAGATAAAATGAAGATATTTGTTTTCTTATTGAGCTAACCATACATATCTTTTCAGGCCTATTTATCACACAATTTAACTTGTGTTTCTACAAACTATCTATCTAATTAGTGCTATAATATAACCAAACAAGCTGGGCTTGAACATTTCGAGCTCGCATTTGTTTACAGTCGTTTCGTTTGTTTATGTTTTGAGCAAAAAGTCTTGCTCGAGCTTGTTTATTTAAGTGTTCGTCAAAGTTTGAGTTTGTTCATGTTCTGATAATTAAAGACACAAACTTTTTAAATATATTTAATTAACTCGAAATATGTTCGTTCGAACTCGAAAATAAAAAAAAAAATTATACTTAAATATTTTTATTAAAAATTCATTTAATATACAAAAAAATAAAATAAAATAATATTAAATGAATGATCGAACGAACTCGTGTTAGTTCGATTATTAGACAAACTTGATTTTATATTTGAACTCAGCTCCAGGGCCGTCTCCAACATTTTTTGGGCCCAGAGCGAAAAATAAAATTAGGCCCCCCTAATTACAATATTGAATAATATATTTTTAATATTTTATTAATAAAATACAAATATTTAACGATACAACTAAAACAAGATGTCCTCGTACCCACAAAATACAACAAAAACAAGATTAATGTTCTAACATGAATGTCATTTAATATATTATTATATTTTTTATTTATATTATTATATATATATATAATATTTTAATATTTATATATGGGGCCCCAATTAATTGGGGGCCCTGTGCAGTTGCTCACCCTGCTCCCCCCAAAAGCTGGCTCTGCTCAGCTCGATTAACAAAGTAACAAACAAATGAATTCTTGTCGAACACAAATGAGCTTGAACGAGCTTTTGTTCAAACGTCCAATTCGTTTACAACCCTACCTACATTATCATTATTCATCCACCTATTTCTGTGAAAGGTGAAGAAAAGAAAAAACGGGTTTATCATGGGTGACCCGGTTCACGCATCGTGTTTTCCCACACCGTTTTCCTGATACTATAAATAGCGCACACCCATTCGCGCTTAATTCATTTTCGAACCAGAGCTCCTTCACTCACCTCGAGAAAAATCCCGAGCTCACTTCACGAATCGAATTTTTAGGTTTTTTCATACACTTCTGTTTGCTCTTAAGCTCAATCTCTCGGAGCCGATTTTCCATTGTTGTTCTAACAGAAGCTTCAAAGTCAGATCGCGCGATTTCAACATTTTCAGTCCGGCAGAGTGCTCTGAAGCTTAGCAGTACGTGATTTCACGAATACAGCTCTGTATATTTGTTTTTTCTCTAATTATAGTTTGGGAAATCGTAAATAGATCATTTCGTTTTAGAAGATTTTAGGTCGGCTCAGTAGTCGTGCGGAGAATTTGTTAGATTTTGTTCGTCGTCTCGAAAATGAGCAGACTCCTAGGGTTGTCGGGCATAAAAGGCCTGGAACAGTTCAGATCTGCGCCTGGATTCAACTCAGGATCTTCGGAGAGGAAGATGCCTTCAAGTTCTTCGTTCGCGCCTTCACAGTCTGTTTCTTCTGGAAGCTTTGCGAATCTGAAGCTTACTGCAGGTTCTAATGATTTTTTTCATGATTTGAGTGTTTTTCATACGTTTGATGAAAGTATGGCGTTTTTTGACGATTTTCGTCGTTTACCTTTTGGTTACAGAGAAATTGGTGAAGGAACAAGCTTCTGCGAAAACTGACCTTGAATTGGCGGTAAATTGAATTTACAAAAGTCTGTCTCTCGTTCTATCTACACTGTATTCTCTGTTTCTGGAGTAAACACAATGTGAATACACGTTTATATCTATACATGTGCGTGTGGATTTATGATATTCATGCACTGATGGTTTTTATTCTGATGTTTTTGTGGTGTATATGGAAATTTATTTGTAAATAAACGTCCATGTATGTTTATTATATAGATATTTATATGTGTGGTTCTAAGTAGACGCTGGATGTATAGTCAATTTGGAAACTAATATATCGCATGGAAGCAGCTTTAAAGTAACATTGGTTAGCTACAAATTATGAAACTAGCTGCTGTGCTTGTCTGAAATCTCAGAATTCCAAGCTCAAGAAGTTGACAGAGCAGATTTGTATAATGGAAGAGAAATTGCGAAATGCTTTCAATGAAAATGCACAGCTTAAAGTGAAGCAGAAAGAGGATGAGAAGCTTTGGAGAGGACTCGAGTCTAAGTTCTCTTCAACGAAGACACTGTGTGATCAACTCACAGAAACCTTGCAGCTGTTAAATGTTCAGGTTCAGCAGGGTAGGTTCCCCATGCATGAATATGTAATCTGTACATTTTACGGAAATTCTATGATGTTGTACTGATATCAGTCGTTGTCAGCCGAGAAAGATAAAGCATTCTTCGAGAATAAGCTGTCTGAAACATCAGCTGCTCTTGATAAATTGCATGAGCACATGAAGTCTATGTCCTCGAGGTTGGACTCTTCAGAGGAAACTATCAAAAAGCGTGAGTGACTGATATGTCCTTGTCATCTAAAAAGACTTTGATGCTTGTTTTTGGATAGTTCTGAGTTTTACGCCAATACATTTTTTGTTCCATTTCTGTTGTCACTTTTTTTGTTTACAACTGTTGGTGCATAGGTGAGATGGAGCTTGTGGAACTTGGCCTTGCAAAGGATAAAATGGAGACATCATTTATAAATGAACAGAATAGAGCTTTCCATGTGATTGAGGAAAAAGGTAATAGGGATATGATGTTTTACTACTAGATGCACCCCCCAACACAAACCAACCAATGCCTTATTAAATTTTCAGATAAATTGCTACTAATTACTGATTTATTATTGATGCAGATGGTACCATGAAACAATTGGAAGAAGATGTAGCAGCAAAAAAATTGGCTTTAGAAAGTTTAACTTGTAATATGGAAAAGCTGCAACTTGAAATGAGGGTGAAAGAAGATGACATGCTTGAATTGAGTGTCTCCAAGGAAAATTTGGAGAGAAAAAACAAGGATCTTCTCTCCAGCAAACATGATTTTGCTAACAGATTACAAATGGCACTCAAGGAGATCAAGAATCTTGAAGACCTTGTCAACCTGATGCTCGTGAAGTTCCGGGAGTTGGAAGACCAGAGCCTGTCGTTTTCCCAAAAAGTCAATCAGTTCAATGACTCGTTTGATTCATACGTTAAGTTGGCTCAGCAGGAGAAAGAACTTATTTCTAAGTGTGCTCAGCAAAAGTTAGATCAGATAGACAACAAGCGTACATCTGTTATATCTGAGAAAGATGCTCTAGAGTCACTTAATCAAGAATTAAACAGTAAGCTTCTCGAACTTCAAAAGGAGCAGGAATTTTCCATGGTGCAGCATGCAGAAGAATGCCGTTTAACAGAAGAGAAAATTCGGAAATTGGAAGCTGAAGCAGAAAATCTTGTTACTAAGCAGACGGAAATGCAATCCTTGATAGTCACCTTGGAGGATAACCTCAAGATTTCCGCAGAAAACTCAAGATCATCTGATAAAAATATGGTGATGGCTCATTCACTAAATTTACAATGATCGCTTAATTTAAACGGGCTGAAATATTTCAATCTGTGTCTTGCAGCAAGATTTGTTGCTGAAATTTTCCGAGTTGGAGAATAGTAGCAAAGGTCTTACGGATGAACTTAAAGCAGATGTCCTTAAAAAGCAAGATGAAATTGATCTTCTGCAGAAGGAGGTAGAGAAAAGTGAAGAAAATTCACTTTCCCTTGAGAAAAGAATCAGTGAGCTTGAGATTGCCCTGGAGGAGAAGGACCAGCTAGTTGTGGATCTCAGAACCCGAGAAAAACAGTTGGATGATCAGAAAGCTGAGGTTTTATTTTATAGAGTGCTCAAAATTATTTAACATAAATGGGTCTTGTATTCGTCCCTAATTATACGGTCGTCACTTTTAGATTACGATAGCATTGGCTAACGCTGAAAGTAAGCTTGAGGAAGCCAGGAAGCAACATGATCACATGTTGGAAAGCAAACACTTGGAGCTATCTAAACATTTGAAAGAAATATCTCAGAGAAATGATCAGGTATTCCTTCTCTTCTGTCCTTTTTCTCCGTGCCTATTATTATATGTTCTAGAGTTATAGCTCATCTGTTACTTTCTGGATTGGATTCTTATAATCTAATCTGGTTGGAGTCTGATCAGGCCATTAATGATATACGAAGGAAGTATGAGGTGGAGAAACAGGAGACTCTTAATCTTGAGAAAGAAAAGGTAGACTCCGGATAATTTCTGCTGTGAGTTTCTCCTTCAGTTTTATTAAAGACTTTCTGTGTCAATTTTCAGGCAGAAAAAGTTATCCAAGAATTGGAAACCAGAAGTCAGCAAAAGATAGAAGAGCAAAAAGAAGAATTTCAGCAACATCTGTTGCGGGTGCAGGAAGAACATGCTCTACTGGTATGCTACTGAATGCTACTGAATTCATGTTAAAGTTCTCCACCAATAACTCAATGCGGAACTTTTAGTTGAGTGAACAATAGAATATAACTTATAACTGAGATGAAGTATGAAAAGATGAAGATAGTTAAATTCACTCTTCTGAGGTTCAAGAAGATAACAAAAATAAACAAACCCTTGAAGTGAAAATAACTGGGAATGACCTACAACTTTGACCTCTGTATAACTATACGGTCCTCAGAGTCAATTTTAACTTTTCCTGCTTTGCACTATCTTAATACTAATGTAGGAAACACAGACGATGTCCATATTTTCAAGCATTTCTCCCCATCCTATGCCATTACTTAAATATCTTCTTTATAGTTGCTACATTCCTAAGCTGTCTCTGTTTCAGATTTCTATATATTATTCATTTCTTTGCTAAAGCTATAAAAAATATATTTTGCACTTAGGATCACACTTCTACTCTACTAAAGATAAACTGGGAAGAATCATTTTAATCAACTCCTTAGGTGTATTAAGCTAAGATATTGTTTTCTGCATCTGGGCATCTAGGACAAAAGGATAGTACATGGTGCGCGTTTAATCATGGATTGTTTATATATATATAAAGATAAATAAGTAAATAAATATAACTCCTTTTCCAGATTATGGTGAAGTTTTACATTTTTACCATGCTTTATGCAGCCATTCTACACCATTTGATTCTAGTTTCTGTTATGATGTGTATAGCAAAACACACAAAGATATCTCTAAGTTGTGCTGAGATTGACGTGATCCTGTCTTTTTATTTATTTCTATCCCCATCTAGATATGCAACATTCAACAGGAACATGCTAACAAAGAAATGTGCCTCACATCTAAGCACACTGAAGAAATAAAACGCTTGCAACTTCAAGCTGAAACTGAATTAAGAGAGGTATTTCATCTCTCAAGTGTTTCAGTTGAAAATGATTGGAAGGGTACAATTACATTAACTATGTATTTTCCAATAGAAAACAAAATCACTCAGGTCTGAGCATGAAGCCCAGTTAAAAGCTTTGAGGTGCGAGCATGAAGATGAGTGCAGAAGACTGCAGGAGGAGTTGGATATTCAAAAGGCAAAGGTACTTTTCCTTTAATTTCTTGGGTAAATAGTATTTACCATTATGTTAAATAGTGTTGCTCGATATCTCAGGAAGAGAGACAGAGGGCCTTACTGCAGCTGCAGTGGAAAGTAATGAGTGACAATCCAGAAGACGACCAAGAAGTGACTTCTAAAAAGGTACTAAGCTGCAACATAAATTAAAGTATTTGTGACTTTCTTGCTGTATAAAACAGAGCAATCTCGGCTTTTACTTCTTAATTGCTTTCATGATTCCAAGATAACCTAATGTTTGAATGGTCCTAGCTTTCAAATATTGAAGTTATAATGATGTCATATCTGGTCAGGTCAGGTAGTAGAAAATCTTCCAATCTTGTAAATGTTTTTCATCGACCATTCAGTATTACTAGATTATGTGGCATTTTCTCTGCCGACTTCACTGTTTAAATTAGTAACTTGCCAAGTATAAGTAAAACTGGCATCACGCCATAATATTTTAAGTGGTGAAAAATTCTCACTGAAAGGCCTGGTTTGTTGGATACTATTTAGTTGAGCACATGATCAGATTAATCCTTTCGTTTTGTTTCTGGAAACATATAACTGGCTTCTTCGTTTATACACGTTGCATGAAAAAAATCAGTTTTCTTAGAAATTATTAATCGTTTAAAATCATACAAACCTATTGGTATATAGTCCAGGTGATTCTGAGGAGACATGTAATTGATTAGGTGACTTCACAATATCCTAAATCTGTCACAAAGATTTCCAAAAACTGCAGTTCAAATAGCACTTATACATTCGAAAGATAATATTATTTGATGAACTGATTATTTCTCAGAACTACATTCCTTCCAAGAGGAGAAATAAAGGCAATGGTGACAGAATTCAACGTCCACTCGACAGAACAGACAGCGTGGAAAAGGTGACTTCAGTTAAAACTAATCTTTGTTTTTCGTTTTCCCCTCACATATTTGGCAGCAAATGCTGTGCATCTCGATGTTTCTTTGCAGGATTCCCCTTATCTAAAAGCAACAGAAACCCCAGTTTCGAACCTGTTAAAAAATGTTGAGAATCCGAATGATCTGCCTAAGCATAGCCGGAAGGTGAGAAACTTATTCGATCTACTTGTGTAATTTCATTTGAATACATATATAATGTTCTTCTTTCTGACTTCTGACACGTAATTAACAGGTGACTCACCATGAATATGAAATCGAGACCTCGAATGGCAGAACAATCACAAAGCGGAGGAAAACTAAAAGCACAGTCATGTTCGGGGTGAGCAGTGTAGCTATTTATTCCATCACCTTCCAATAACCAATTAATTTTCTTATTTTCTAGCTAAAAGCTACAAACTGATAAAATTTTTACTTGTTTTCACAGGATCCGAGGAAGCAAGGGAGGAGAGAGACACCAAAAGCAAAGACCCCCAAACAAGTTACCCAGGCAAGTGTATAAACCAACAGCAGTGATTACTTATTTGCATACACATATCTTTTGTTCTCAACATCTCTTTCTCCCGTTATAGCAGATCACAAATTAGTCAGCCTTACATTGAAAATGAATCCTGCTGTTCTAGCAATAGAAAGAAGCTAGACTTGAAATATCTTCACTATATATCAACTTAAAAACCATGCTTGCAAATGAATGCATCTTCAGAAGGGTTTTGTTTTGTTAGCTTGTGCTGATACTCAAGACATTTTTTTTTTTTTTTTTTAATTTGCTCCAGGCAGTCAAAGGTGGGGCCCACCCCAATCCCGCCAATATTGGCGATCTGTTTACTGAAGGATCTCTGAATCCATATGTGGATGATCCCTATGCATTTGATTAGAGGTCAGCGTTATACCCTTTTATTATTTTATTATTATTATTATTCTTTATAATTCTATGGATGAAAAATATTTGGGTAGTAAACTATCAAGATACTATACTTTAAAATGAATCTTGTTGCATTGGCCATAAATTTATAGCATCATAATTTGTACAATTATAAATTACTTGAGTTTGAGGTGTTTGAGAAATGTTACATCGCCTTTTTTGATATATGATCTCTCTCTCTCTTTTTGTTGTAGGCTTTCGGAATTCATTTTTCTACTGCAAAAAGAAACTAGCCTTCCACTTGGAGAGAATATCAGACTTGCCTGCACATATACTGTCTCCCCTTTCATGAAGACTATTAGTGTACATACTCACTTACTATGTGATTTCTTTTAAAGTACTTTAACCAAACCAAACAGAAGAG